GTATCTTACTGAGAAATTTTGCATTTAAGTCCATTAAAGAAATTAACTTGTAGTTCTCTTTTTTGGTTGAGTCTGCTTTTGGAAACGGAATGATTTTGGAAGTACTGCTTCCATTTTGATTTTATTGAAGAATTTGGTAAGTATTTGTGTTAGATCTTCTCTAACGTTCTTGTAGACTTTGGCAATGAATCCTTTGGAACTGAGCTTTTCTTAGTTGGTAGGATTTTTAATTTTTTTATTATTACTTCTTCAATTTCATTGACCAGTCTTGTTGGTTTAGTTTTGGAGGTTTATTTGCATGTGGAAATCTGTCCATTTCTTATGAATTTTCCATTTTATTAGAGTATAGATTTAAATTTTTTTATTTTAATGAGAATAAAACAAAAGCAAACCACCACAACAACAAACAGAACAAAGCAAATCAGAAAGAACAATGCAAGCAACACAGTACTTCACAGCAAGACAACAGGACATCAACAGTGGCTACCATAATGTCTCTTATTTTCTTTGAAATAATTGACCATACCTTCACACACAATAATAGCAAACATAACCAAATAGTAGAAAATCATTCAAAAGAATGAAAGCATTATAGGACTTCAAAACCAGATAACAAGAAATGAATGATGGCTACTATAATATCTCTTTTTCCTCAAAAAAGTTGTCCATATCATCACACATAATAAAGTCAAATAAAACATAGTAGGATAGAACATAGCAGGATAGAACAGAAGAACAAAAGCATGACAGAACTTCAAAGAAAGATTATAGGAAATCAGCAGTGGCTACTATAATATCTCATTTTCTTCCAAATAGTTGTTCATACCATCACACATAATAAAATCAAACAAAATAGAATTAAACCAACTAAACAAATAAATGAAAGCATTGTAAGACTTCAAAGCAATATAATAGAAAACCAAGATTACCATAATATATCCTATTATATTCAAAATAGCTGTCCCTATCATCAGAGTAAAATCTAATAAAACAAGACAGAACAAAGCCAAACCAACAAAATTGTGAAAATAATACAAGAGTTCAAGATAAGACAATAAGAAATTAACAGTGGTTCCCACCTTCTCGTCCCAGGTGTTTCCTCCCCTAGCACTCTTACAATAACTGTTTTGATTTTGGATCCCATTAACTCCTTCTGTTTCTTATGCTAGGATTCACATGTTATGAGTTCAAACTGTTTCACCCATAAACATGATCTCCAGGTGGGTCTATTTACCTACAGAAGCCTCAAGATTATTATTATTATTATTATTATTATTCTACTTTATAGCTGGGTAGTTTTCCACTCCATGAAAATACCATATCTTTTTTTATCTATTCTGTGGTTGATGGGCAAATTACTCTTGCTTTTTAAAATTCTGGTCTCCTGTCATTTGGAACAATTGTTTTTTTTTCTCTTCTTTGATTTTTCCTTTCCATTTAAATGTGTTTCTTGTAAACAGCATATCAATGAATCATGTTTCTTATCCACTCTCCTGTGTTTCCTTTTATTGCTGACCTGAAGACATCTACATTAATGGTTATAACCAGCATACATTGGTTTGTCTTTGCTGTGCTATCCTCCTGTTGTTGGCTCTTCACTTTTTCTCTTCATTCAGTTGCCCGTCTTGTTTGTTGATCTTCCTGTGCTGCTGTTCCTGGGGCCATGCTCATCTTTATCTCTCTTTAGACTATCCGTTAGCACTCTCTGTAGGGTGGGTTTGAAAGTCATGAATTCCTTCAGTTGTTCTTTATCATGGAAGTATCTGATTTTTCCATCAATTTTGAAAGGTAGTTTTTCTGGGTAGATCAATCTGGGTTGGAAGTTGTTTTCTTTCAGAGCTTGCAACACTTCAAACTCTTCTTGACTTGATGATTTGTGTTGATAAGTCTGCTGTAATTCTGATTAATTTTCCTTTATAGGTGATCTGTTTCTTTTCTCCAATAGCTTTTTAATATTCTATTCTTGTGCTGAATTTATGGAATCTTGGTTATTATATGTCTGGGTGTAGATTTACTTTGGTAATGGCTAGTTGGAGTCCTATAAAGCCTCACTTATCTGCATGCCAGATCCACTTCCTATGTTTGGGAAGTTTTTTTCTATTACTTCTGTAAATAGGCTTTTAATTTCATTTGTGTTGACTCCTGCTTCTTCAGTAATACCTATCACTCTTAAATTATGGTTCTTTGCATCATCTTGCAGCCATTGAGTTGTTATTTGCTGATTCTGTACTGTTTTTAAAAGATTTTTCCTTTCATGATCACTAGCTGTAATCCTATCTTCAATGTTTGAAAGTCTATCTTCAGACTCTTTCAGGTGATTTTGCCAGCTTTCCATTGAATTTTTAATTTCCTGGATCTCTCTTTGAATCTGTTTCATGCATTGTAATTCTTTTCTATATTCATTCAAGGTTTCTGTCATTTTCCTATGCTTGTCTTTTTTGTCTATGTCTTCTTTAGACCCGCTGAACAATTCTTTCAGTATGTTTGTGATTTTATCTTTTACCTGAGATGTTATTTCTGGTTGGACTACTTTTACAATCTCAAGAGGTTGTTTCTTTCCTTCAGCTGCTATCCTCTCAGAGATTTCAGGTGTGTGACTTCCATTTTCTTCCATGACTGTGTCTCCCAGACTTGTTCTATGTGGGCTAGAGGTCTGAGATTGCCTTTTTCTCCTTCATCTTGACATTCTCTTGGGTTCCTCCCAACAAGCTGATTGTGAGGCTCACAATTTCCCACGTTGGCTGCTTCTCCATGACATAAGGGGATGGAACAGGCACCTGGGTTCCTCTAACCCCAGATTTACAGGATGGTAGCAGGGTGTGGAGCAGGCTTCTCTAGACCTATGCAGCTACACTGGGGCTTCCCTGATGACCACTGGTGCATGAAGACTGGGGCTGCTTCTCTCAGCCTGTGTGTCTACACTGGGACTCCCACGATGGTGACAGACACACAGTAGTATATTTGTCTGATTTCACTGTTGAGTGATGGCTGCCTGAAGGAACCAAGGGCCTCTAATGGTGGCCTACAGGTGCATAGGACTTACCTGGCTGTGTGTCCCTGCTCCTGGTGGCTATCTGCGGGAAAGTGCCTTCTGGTGGCAGCTCCCTGCAAGTGGCAGCAGATCTGCTGGTTCTCTCTGCCTACGCTTGGTGCCTCAGGAAAGGGTCTTCCAGTGGTGGCACCTAGCAGGCAAAGGTGGATCTGTCTGGCTCTGTCTGCCTGCACTGTGCACCTTCCAGTGGTGGTGCCCAACAGGAAGATACGGTTCTCTAGAGTATAAGTTTTTAAAGTAGGTACGAGTAATCTTTGGATTTTGGCAGAGTCCGTTGTGATTTAATATTTTTCATTTCTGATTGCATGAATTTGAGTCTTTCCTTATTTTGGTAAGAATCTCTAAGGGTTTATTTTGTTTGTTCTTCTAAAGAACCAATTCTTTAACCCATTGATTTTTATTGTTTTATTATTTGGTCTCAACTTCATTAATTTCTGCTCTGATCGTTTTAACTTTCCTCTTTGTACTAACTTTGGGTTTGCATTCTTCTTGTTTTCCAAGGACCTTGAAATGCATTTTCTTCTAGTTTTGAAATTCTGTCCTCACCTTGGTTGCTTCCATGGCCCATATTTTCAGTATAACTTTTAATCTCCTGAATGACTGAAACCTTTCATGGACTTTAATTTTTTGATTATTCATATTTTGCATAGTTTTGTTTAGCTCACCCAGTTTTTTATTAGTATCTTCTGAAAGCCCTTGCATCATATTGGTTATTGTTTCCATTTTTTAAAATTTGTATTTTCTGTGACCCACAGAGTATCTCTTTGATCTGTTTTCTAGACTCTTCTGTTCTGTATTCTTTTCAGTAATTCAGGTGCGTGGCTTATGCTTTTCTGCCCCTTGGTATTTCCAGGATAGGCTTAAAAGGAGTTGGGAATTTATTTTTTTAATATTTATTTTAAAAAGAATAAAATAAAACAATAAAATGAAATAAAGCAAAACAGTGGGAACAATACTGGATTTCAAAAACAAGACAATAGGAAATAATCATAGTTATTGTAATGCATTTGTTACCCTCTAAATAGATTCACAGACTACCAGATACAGGCATGCAAAGTTAAACAAACAGCACAAGCTCTAAGTTGTTTCCTTACTCAATTGTCGTCATCTCAGAAATTTCAGGTGAGTACTTTCTAATTTCTTCTATGTCTATGTCTCCTGGACTTGTTCTGGCTGAGATATAAGCATGTAGAATTAATCAAACAATATACATACTAAGTTATCTATTTCAGTTGCTGTCATTTCAGAAATTTCAGGTATGTGGCTTTTAATTTCTTTTTTGTCCATATCTTCCGGATTTATTTTGGATGGGCTACAATCTGAGAGTGCATCCTTCTCCTTTGTCTTTACATTATCCCGTGTTCCTCTGAATCAGCCAGTTGTTGAGTCCTGGGAGTTTCCTGCATTGGCTGCAGAGGACTGGGCTAGGCACCTGGGTTCCTCCAATCTGAGGTCCCGTGGTGGCTGAGAGGTGCAGGGCAGCTGCTCATCCATGTTTCCCTGATGTTTGCAGAACCCCAGGGGCATGGCTTCTTCTTCTTCAGGCCCACGTTGGTGGGCTCACTGCGTGGCATGGCTGTGTGCCTCCGAATAGTTGGTTGCTGAGTCCTGGGTGTTTTCTGCATTGGGTGCCTGTCTTGCGGTGTAGGGAATTGGGCTGGGTACCTGGGTGCCTCAGATCTGAGGTTCCTGGGGCAGTGAAGAGATGTGGGGTTACTGCTCATTGATATTCCCCTGATGATGGTGGAACCCCAGATGGCTTCCTCTCCTCCAGGCTGTGATGATGGGCTCACTGGTGGGTGTGGCCTCCCTTTCTCCAGGTTAGGCAGTGGGCTCACTGAAGGAGGTGGCTTCCTTTCCTCCTGGCCAGTGGTGGCTGGCTAATGAGGGAGGATGATGTGTGGCCTCTTCTCCTTTGAGCCCAGGGTAGCCGTCTTGCCATGGAGAGAGTTGTTTCTTTCTAATGAATTGACTGTTTTATTTCTAAAGTTCTGAAATGGCCAACAAACTATAGAAAGATGCCAACATTAGGTGCCCGCTTTAAAGCAACAGCTTCAGAAAACTGCCCGCCTTGATTCAGTGCCATTATTTTTGGTCTTTTTGAGACAGAGTTTTACTATGCAGTTCAGGCTGGGCTTGAACTCACTTTATAGCCCAGGCTAGCCTCAAACTTGAAGTGATCCTTCTGCCTCAGTCTCCTGAGTTCTGGGATTACAGGCTTACTCCACTACATCTGGCTGAGTTGAGAGTTTTGGGAGGCATCTTGTTGACTTTCTTCTCATGGTTCTGTTGCTTTTTGTTTTGTTTTGTGCTGAGGTTTGTGGACACTTACAGTATAAACACTTTGTTGCTAATATAAAGATCTCTTTTGTTGCTTTTCAGTGATGTACTTTGATTATGGGTAATTATAGTCCTTTATCTCAGCCTCAGGATCCAACCACCTTGATTAATTTGGGAGGGAGAATTCAGTGTAAGTAGCCCAACAACTGAGTTCTCTGAGATTTTATTTTAGTATTTCTAATGTCACAAAGGTAATCTGACAGTTTGTAGAGAAATAGTGATAATCTTGTGACCCTGGCAACATCAAGCAAATTAGCTACAGTAGCATTAAGTAAGATAAATTGGATAAACATACCATAGAAATCCATTACATTTCACCCTTAACTCTAGGGAAAAAATGCACAGTTTTAGTGTAAACATATTGTTCATGTTTTGACTTACAGATAATATGTACTAAATGCAACAGCTATATCTCCACTAATGGTAGAAAAGAATTCAACATTAATTTTACAGAGTTAACCATCAAAATGGTTATATTATTAAAAATAAAGGATTTGGGAATGCAAAGGAAAATGTGAGAATTTAAACTATGTGATATGAGGAGGAGACAGAAGTGGTACAGAGGATCCCACTGGATAGTAGAAGGATGTTTATAGAGTTAGGTAAAGATGAAAGAAAAAAAATGATGACAGGAGATAGAAAAAGAGGAGAAAAAAAGAAATTATATAAGTAGTAAAAATAAGAGAAAAAATGAAAGGGCAAAAAAATTAAAGGGTCATCGTATAATTGTATAAATTTATTGAAAATATTTGTGCACTTAGATGAAGGCACAAACTGTACCTCAATACATCTATATTTTTAGAAAAAGTAAAAATTTAAAGAGTGAAGAGGAAAAAATAAAGAAAATAAGGAGTCAGAAAAAAAGATAAAAAGTAAAGAAAAAGGACAAAGGAAAATTTTCTATGCGCCAATAAACCAAAAAATTTTCTATGCTCCAATTTTATTGGTTTAGAAATCCAATAAAATTGGATTTCTAAATCCAATAAACCAGTGCAGAAGAAAGGAGAAAGGAAGAAAGAAAAAAGAGAAAAAAAGCCAAAACAAAAAATTAAAAACAACACACACACACACACACACACACACACACACACACACACACAATCCCAAAATCCCAAAACCAAAACCAAAAAAGCAAAGCAAAGCAAAACAAAACAAAACAACACAAAACAAAAGAAAGCTCTGTGATTTCAAACGTGTGTTTTTTTTCTGGGATCTGTAATTTTGGGGCCATGTCCAAGTCAAGACAGGTCCTTATTCACACTAGTGAACATAAGGCTATTAGACTCATTCTGATCTATTCCCTAGATCCAATTTATATCTGGGAATGTGAGTACAGAAATTATACTGAAAGCCACTTTCTTAAAAGTTCTCTTAATATCTTATTAAGTGTAGTATACTCATTAAGTATAGTATATTCGTTCTTTTTGTGGAAATGCCAGCAAAGAGTTGCAAAAATTGGAAACTGGTAATTTTTTATGTTCCATCTGAAATTATGATGCAGCTACAGTTGGGACTGTCCTCACAGGTAGAGTTCAGGACAAAAGGAAAACTATTCTGTGTAAGCTTATCCCTACCATGGCACCTACAACCAAGGCCCTCTTGAGCCCCTTGGGGATTTAAATTTTTGGCATGACTGAAATCTTTTTGGAGCCATGGAAAGTGTAATCATTAGTATTAGTGAGTTGTTGCTCATTAGTACTGATGAAGAGTATCCAAATCATATCAAAAAAGAAAATAAAACCCTACTTTATCTGTGGTGTGTGTGTGTGTGTGTGTGTGTGTGTGTGATTGTTCCTTGGATTAATACCAGAATTATTTCTGTTGCTACAGATGAAGTCCCCTTGTGTAAGTGTTCACATAGGTAAATGTCTCATTCACTGAATTTTTTAGAAGAAAATTTAAAAAGCTTAAAAATTCATAAACCCAACAAAATATTTTCTTTGTTATGATGACTTAGATATTTGAAAAAGTCTTTTGATGTGATGGAGCTTTCCTGGTGTTGCTGGTTCATCCACGTTTCAAGCAAAGAGTTAACTGAAGCCGGGAAAGGCTTCTCTGGCAGCCTGTGAGCTTTGTGTAGTAGCCAAGTTGGGTGCTGATAGAGACTGATATTCATTCGTTTGTGTACATAGCTTTCATTCTCAAAGTTATACACATCATGTAACAAGAAAGATGATTGTGAAAAGCAGAGACAAGCTCAAGTATTTCCTGGCTGTTCTTGTTGCATATACTATGTGTAACTCTGCCTAGTTAGCTAGAAATAACTTTCTTCTCTGGTGGCAAGTGAAGATTAATTATTCACATCCAGCAGTCATCATAATGATGATTGAGTTTGCCCACATACCTAAATGAGTTTCACAAGTAAACTTTTAGCCTGGAGAGTTTTAGCCCTCTTTTTATATTGCACTGCTTGTGGACTTCATCCTGTAATTGTGTGGCATGGTGAAGTGTAATGTCCTTTGATGCTGAGGATTGTGTAGAGGGCTTATATAAAAAGACAGGCGCCAGCTGGAAATGTCTCTCAGAACCCCAAAGACACCCTTGCTTCTCTTTTGTCTATTTCCAAGCTCATCAGATCTGGATATGACAATAGCACCCCCTAGCGTGTTACAGAGCAAGAAGGGGATCCTGGTTAATTCATTAAGGTGAAGTTCTTTTTTCAAAGTGTTGGGTGTGGTAAACAGGTGCTTTGGCATTTATTAAACTGTATCGCTGAGTCTAAGTACATAACAGCAGGAATGTCTTTTTGAATTTGGTAGCTGGGAAATAAAGAAAGACAGTAGTAAAATAGGGATTTAGATTACTTTACAAAGGTGTGAAAGCTAAGAACAGCTGTGGAATAAAATCAGGAGATCACTGAGGAAGTCAGTTAGTTGTTCCTATGGGCGATTTGCCATTCTTTCAAACAACTGAAAGCATGGATAGTTTTAAAGAAAGTAAGAAGGATAGAGCCTGGTTGCAAAAGTCTTCCATTGCTGACTGAGACTGGAATCTTGCAATGGAGACCAAAGTCTTTTTTTTAAGAAATAAAACTGAAATTTTACATCCTCCACATAGTGACTTAAAGACTACTGAAGTTAAATGATTCATAGAAATGGATGTGGTAGCATCCACCTATAATCCCATCGCTCTAAAGGCTGAGGCAGGCGGATGTCTGTGAGTTTGAGGCCAATAGTGGCCTGGACTATATAGTGTCTCAAAATATTGTCTATATTTGTCTCAAAAATATTGTCTATATTGTCTTTTTTTTTTTTTTTTGTCTTTTTCCTTTTTATTGGTACCGGGAATCGAACTCACGACTGCCTGCTTGCAAGGCAGGTGCTTATGCCGCTGAGCTAAATCCCCAGCCCCTTGTCTATATTGTCTTAACAACCACACATGCACGCACACACACACACACACACACACACACACACACAAACCCCTGATACTTACTTGATAATAGGGTTTCAATGAAAGGAATTAGGCCTGAAAAATAAAGAGGAACTAAAAGTTGGTGTACATGGACTACAGAGAAAAGAGGAAGGATGCAAATAAAGATTAACTGTCCCTACCTTCATAGAGCTTACATTTCTTACAGTTTCCAAGGAATAGATCACCATAGTTCAGACCTTGATGTTTGCATATTTAAAAGTCTGCGTTATTCATAGGTAGAATGTGATTTGAGGATATAGAAAGTATCCCATTTTCAAAATTGTGTTTTCCCCTCATCCAGTCTTCCCTGAAATTGCTAAATTAAAGTACTTTGTTTATTAAAGAAAAAAGTTTTTGGTGAGGGCAGTACTGATGGATCCAATTATTATGGCCATACACTTATGTCTAGTGAAAATGAATAATCTGACCTACAGTGATAGGAACAGAAAGGGATGGAATTACAGCATCAGGAGTAGCAAGCTCTGATTTTGGAGAGCTTGTTTCTTAGCACCAAGTTTTCCTCATCTGTAAAACATTGATGCCAATTTCTGTCAAGTTTCTATCATATGGCAGGTACAATTCAAGAAAGTGCAGAGCATAATACCTAGATAATTATTTGGGTAGAGGTAGAACTGGATTGGACACTGGAAAAAAAAGAAGGGGAACATGAAGGAAGAGGATGATTTTACAATCCAGTTTAGGCTGTTTAAAAATGTTTCTAGGGCATTTATTCCTGGATTCAATTTCTGACAAGAAATTGCCTAGGAGGGAGGGTGGTAGCATGAATGTGGTTGTTGCAAAATTTTGGGGGAAACAATTAGTTTTACTTTTGTAGGTCAATTTAGTTTTCAAAATTATCTACAAAGCTTACAGTTGTAGATCTGACCCCAAACCTATAGCTATTGTTTGAAGAACTGGGGTGGGGGATGAAGACTGACTTCCTGGTTATTTGGAGTGTTTGACCTTTAACTTTTCTGTTCAGCCAGAAACAGAGCACAGTAGGCTGATATTCTTTGAATCCTAGAAAGCAAGTGACCTACTTAGTATTGTACTTGAAATATTCAATTAGAGTATATTTTAGGAAATATATTTTCAGCTTGAAACATATAAGTTTGCTTTTGTGAATACATACTCTAACAGGGAGACAGCCAAGTGATATTTTCGGTTGTTCTCTTGACCCACTGTGTAATCTTGGATACTGAGTGACTTCTTTCCTTGGGAAGTGGTAATGTAAAGTCTGTGGGCTTTTTTAGAAAACTTAATTGAGAGCCATACCCTTACGGTTGCACATGATGAAGATTGGTGAAGGCATTGAGGTTCTCTAACAGTAAG